TGTCATTATTTCTTCAAATAGATTTTCTAATCCTTGCTGCTCTTCTTGTCCTTCTGGTTGCCCTATTATATGTATGTGTTGTGTTGTGCCAAAGCTCCCTTAGGCTCTACTCCTGCTTTTTAATTTTTTTCTCCAGTTGCTGTTCAGATTGGGCTTGTTTCTCTACCTTACCTTCTAACTCACAAATTCGGTCCTCTGCTTCTTCTAGTCCACTGTTGAAACCTTCCATGGTGTTTTTGATTGTAGCTATATCACTTTTGATTTCTTCCTGATTTTTGCATAGGTTGTTGATTTTTCATCCATCCAGTGTATGAATGGTACAACTATTACTGTGAATTCTTTTTCTGTCATGCTGCATGCCTCTTTTTCACTTATTTCCTTTCTTGGCAATTCTTCTTTTTCTTTCCTCTGGAGATTGTTTTGTTGTCTCCCCATTCTAATTATCACCAGAAAGTTCAAAAGCCAAGTTGCCAGGGCCTGGGCCATGTGCAGTGGGAGTTTTGCACCACCCTTGTGTCACTGAAGTGCTCTGACACCAAGACATGTGGCTGCCGTGGGTTAGTGGGATCCTCACCCAGGATCAGAGTCACCAGCACTCAGTGCAGCCTTGTGCATGCACCTAGAATCAGGGACCCCACCTGCGCCATGCTGAAAAAGAGATCCCGCTGGTGTGTTCTGAAAATTAGAGTCCCCCAGTGCATGCCATGAGTCAGAGACCCCTGTGCCTGCACTGAGAATTGAGTATCAGTGTTTCTGTTGCTTAGTGAGGCCTCATGCTGAGAATTAGGGTCCCTGCATGTGCATGCACCGAGAATTGGAGTCACTGGCTCTTAGTGTGCATGCACTGGGAATCAGGGATCCCAGGCACGTGTGATAAGAAACAGAGTCAAGTCACTGGTTCTCAGTGCTGCCTCTTGTGTGGAGAAACAGGGTCTCCAGTCTCCTTGGGGGATCAGGTTGCACAACCACCTTGTGTTGGCAGGAGGTCCATTCCTGTGCTGTGGAAAACAGACTTCCTTGTGCACTTGCCCAGAATCAAAGTCAGGTGGCACTGCCGTCCTGTGTGGGTATGAGGTCTAGTTGCGTGAGTGTGCACTGCAGGAAACAGCCTCCCAGTGTCCATGCCCCCAGGCTCAAATTCAGGTAGCAGAGCTATCCTGTGTGGGTAAGAGGCCTGCCTACATGGGATGGGTCTAGCAGTTCCTATGGTTCTGCAGCGAACCTGCAGGGAGGGAGATGGGCTCTGTGACTCACAGAAATCTGCGGTTGGGGTGTCTGGATTCTTGGTGTCTGTGGGTCTGCAGCTGTGATCACAGGTCTTTGTCCCTAGTGGCTATAGGGTTCTGGTTTGCATCTGAGACCGAATTGGGTGGTGGTGAGGCTAGGATCCTAGTCTTAAGCAGTTCTGTTTTTCAAGATGGCATGGTCTCTGTGCCTGTGCTGGCCGCTCCTGGAGTGTCCATAGTGACAGGTGGGTTTCGTCATCTAAGACTGCCCGTTTAGCTGCCCCTTGGAAGACCTGCAGGATCTAACTGTCCCTTTCTCTCTCTCTCTCTCTCTCTCTCTCTCTCTCTCTCTCTCTCTCTCTCTCACACACACACACACACACACACACACTACACACATCCACACACTCCTTTATTGCTCCCTCACTCTCTCACACTCTCTCCCTCCTTACCTTCTTGTTGGTTGCCATCTTTTTCCTATGCTGAGATTTTTGTCTTTTTTTTCAGTTGCAAATCAGTAGCTGTGTGACAAGACTGCTCTTTTCAGGTAAATGTGCTCAAGATCATTGAGACATTGTGTTGCTGCATGAATCGTGTGCAACTAGATGGCAAAGACCAGGCCATTGAAGGTTACGTGAGCCCAGAGCATTTGCCCCATGTCAGAAGAGAGTGCTGTGTGTATTAGGGTCAGGAGGGTGTTAGGCCAGACCCGGCGCTTATGCTCTGCTCCCAGACAAGTACCCATATTAGTGGCAAGATGTGGAGGGATGGCTGCTGGGAGTGTCTGGTGAGGTGAGCCCACCACAGGGAGATCTTAGCAAAAACATCACATTGTCTATGTGTGGCCTCCTAGACAAGGATTTCCTACTGTTGAAAAGTCTGGGTCATATTAGAAACTATGAAGGAGCAGCACCCATGATGGCCTAAAGAGAAGAGGTGTTTCTGGACTTTCCTGACCACATGGCCCTCCCTGATTTGAGTTTGATTGTGCACAGGCAGGAGCTTTTGATAATGAGAGGGACCATGTTGTGGCCTGTCCGAAGGTCAGACTCTAACTACCCTCTAGCAGATACATTTTATAGGTTTTCCTACCATTTGATTCTGTGCAATTGTTATTAGTGGAAGTGGGGTGTCCACTAGTGGAAGTGAGGAATAACTTTCCCCACAGGGCGCTGGGGGTAGGGTTCTTATGATAGCTTTAGAAAATGAATTTTCTAAGACTTGTACAGGAGAATGAGTGAATTTTATTTGCATGGAGTTATGTCCCTCAGTTGCAAAAGTCCCATGTCCTTTAAACTGGACCTGGGAAAGGTGCAGCTGGTGATACAGCAGAGCTAGAGGCAAAGCCAGTGTCCAGAGGTTGCATTCCAGGGTGGAGTAAGTCCTGCAGAGCATCAGGCTGATTGTAATCCATTAGTTCACTGAGTGTGGGCCATGTGGGCCAATGCAGGGGAGCAGGCCCTCTGCCACAAGAGAGCCAGGAGCTCAAGAGGCCAAGAGAGGGAACTCTGTTTTTCCAGGAGCTTATGTAGCTCAGATTTGGTGCCATTGCAGGGGCCTCGTCTATTCTGGCCAATGACCTGCTCCCAGGTGTGACTGACAAGTAACCACCTCTCCTATGGCATTCAGACTTACTGGGTATGCTTCTATTCTTTCTTTGTCCACTCCCTTCCCCCAGGATCTGTGGGGAACAGACCTGGAGAGTGTGAAACTGCAGTTTCTGGCACAAATGGCATGCCTATATTATCAGGCCTTCCCTTTGCTCCATTCCTGTCAATTAATTAACCACTGGGATAATTATTACAGTATCACAGTGACATTCATGCCTGCTACTTTTACTGTATTTTAAATTGTATTTTCCTATTACTGTCCACTTTCAATATTATTTTGTATTAGTTTCAGGTGTAGAGCATAGTGATTAGAAAATCATACACTTTACAAAGTGTTGCCCCAATATTTCCAGTACCCACCTGGCACCATGCATAGTTATCACAATATTATTGACTGTATTCCTTATGCTGTACTTTGCATCTTAGTCACTATTTTATAACTACCAATTTGTATTTTCGATTTTTTTTATCCAGTCCCACAAACCCCTTCCCCTTTGGCAACTATCAGTCTTCTTATTTGAGTCCGTTTCAATTTTGTTTGCTCATTAACTTGTGCTTTAGATACTACAAACAGGTGAAATTATATGCTATTGGTCTTCCTCAGTCTGACTTATTTCCCTGAGCATAATACCCTGTGGGTCTGTCCATGCTGTCACCAATTATATCTGCTACTGTTATGGCTCATGGAAATGAGGCTGCTGCCCTGCCTGCTCCCCACCTGCTGCCCTCTCCCCGAGGTGAAGAGGATGAGCCAGTGAACAGTTTGGGGGCTGCACGTCTAGAAACGAAAGAAATAAAGTCATTTCCAAATTCCACACAATGCTGTTCTAGAGACCCAAGTGATACAATTCAAACAGAGTGTAACCAGCAGTAGAAATAAAACACAAATACTTACTCTGGTGAAATCTGAAATCTGGGCTCTGTGGGTTCATGTGAAGGAGGGTGAGAAAATTCCATTCAGATAAAAGTCAACACTGTCAGTTTCACTTGTGTTCAGGTGTCAGAACCTGTATTATTCCCAATACCTGGCACTTAGTAGGTGCACAATCAGCATTTGTTCACTGATTGATGGAAAAACTGTGCTTTCCAGTCCTACTGCAGAGAGCAGCCCTTTCTAACTCAAAAGGCAGGTAGAGCCCATGGTGGTCAGCACGCAGCCTGAGCCTTGAGGCCAGCAGTGAGGAACAGGCTGCAGGGGACAAAGGCTCCTGAGTGACCAGCAGTCAGTAGACTCTGAGCACATGGTGGGGACCCTGGGCTGGATGTGAGGGTGGAGCTGGCTCTGCCCAGTGAGAGATGGGGCCAGGTGTTCTGCAGACACCCACCTGCCCTGTCCTCCAGGGCCCTACATAGGGCCAACACAGTCCTGTTCCCCTGGTCACCCTGTGTCAGGGCATAAGCTGAGTGGCAACTCAGTGACCAGGCCCTGCTGGAACCTGGGCACTCTGGATGTCCTAGGTGGGAGGGATATGCAGAAGTGGGAGATCAGACCAGTGTGGTCTGTGGGGCGCAGGGTTGGTGGATTCTGAGGATGCTCAGTGGTCAGCAGGGATGAGAAGGGGCAGCCAGGAGACTGGAAGCCAAGCTAGGCCCTGTTCTCAGAGGAGGGCAGAAAAGGGCAGGGAGAGAAATTCAGCCCAGGAGGGAATGAGGAGCTTCTCAGGACTTCCCTCCCTCCTCCACCCCCGTCTCTCCTCACCCACCCCGAGTCCCCAAACCTGCCACCCCCTGGTTGCTGGAGAACAATGTCCTGCTCAGGAGGGCTCTCCTCTCCCCAGTGTGGTGGGGCCTCCTGAGCTGCAGCCCAGGCTGTGCCTGCTTGGTGTCCAGCACCCACGTGCTAGTCCTTTCCTCCAAGCTCGTAACAAAGAGGAAGAAGTAAGACCTTCACACTGAGCCCAGGACCTGAGAGATTCATGTTTTCCCTAATGGTGCTCCTCTCTGCCCTGGCAGAAGGGCCGGCCCTGCAGGTGCAAGTGTGTTCCAGAAGGAGCTGGGAATAGCTTTGCATGAGGTTTGGGGGGTTGGGGGGGAAGGGGAAGAGGAGGAAGTAGAAGAGAGAAGAATTGTGCTATTGGCCTTCTGAGCACAGAGCTAGTGCCTGTGAATGAGGGTCAAAGAATAAACAAATCATATGAGAGTCATTTATTTGGTTGCTGGCACCACCTCCCTCCCCGCAGTGTGGTCCTGGATTAGCTCCAGAGAAGATGTTCTGGGTCCTGCAGTTGGAGGCTTTTCATGGTTTTCTTTATCCAGGGAAGGAAACTGGCGACTTTGGTGAAGACTCGTGGAGGTGTCCCATACTTGTTTCCATAGGAGACAATGCCCTGGATCCCATTTCTACACAGGAGAGGCCCCCCGGAGTCCCCCTGTGGACAGAGAGAGGGAAGGACTGAGTAACTTCTCCTGGCCCTGCCCTCGACCCCTCATCCCAAGCCCCCTCTCGGAGAAGGCTGCCTTGCATGGTTTCCACCTTGGAGATAAGCAGGCAGGCAGGTCCCTGTGGTCCCCTGAGCCTGGATGTTGTCACTTCCTCACTTCACCTCAGGTGGCAGCTCCCTCTGCTCCCCCAGGTCCCTGATCCTCTGGCTATGAAGGTGCTGCAGGACTGTGGCTGCATCTACTGTGTAAGGACCCGAGAACAGGCAGGTGGGGCTGACACTCGGCATGGAGAAGGAGCCCATTAACCAAGGAGGAGCCCCTTACCTTGGAAGCCACCAGGTATAACTACTGCACACCCAGGGAATAGTTATCTAACTGCTGTGTCCCGGCTTGGGCTAGTATTGCAGATTCACCATCTGGAGGAGCACCATGTTTAGAGTGACCATAGGCCCTTGTAGCCTCTCATAGGGCCTATTCCTGTCAGCTCTGGCGGTCCCCCTCTTTTCCTCTTGGGGAGAAAGGTCATAGCCTAGAGGGTGAAGGATTCCCCCCTTTCCTCAGGTCCCAGTCTGTATCCAAACATCCCTCTTCCCATAGCCAAGCTAAGCAGATGTTCAGTATCACCTTAAAGGAAGACTTCTTTTTTGTTGGGTCCCCCACACAGAGTTGAATGGTCCTGTTGTAATCCTCAAAGAGATTTTCACACTTCGAATCATTTTGCAGGGTCAGCTCTACCTCCTGCAGAGTGTCTGAGCAAGGGCCATTCCTTGTGACTAGCCCCCAGCCGGCCACACTGCACTTCTCTCCTGGCCTCGGCAGGTCCTTGCCCTTGGGCAGTCGGTGGGACTTCACAGCATCAGTTCGCTTGATGTTTCTCTCCAGCTGATGGGGAAGAGACAAGGGAGCCCAGGTCAGCCAGTGCCTCTGGGCCTGGAAACCATGATGGGACCCCTGAGTTACTGGGACTGGTCAGGTGACTGGAGTGGGACTAAAGGAAGCGACAGGTCACAGTCAGAAGAGAAACAATGAGATCTCAGAACTACAAATGCAGCAGGATGTTTCCTCACCTGCAGTAACATGATGTCATTGGTGAATGTACTGTCATCATAGTCTGGGTGTGGGATGGCTCTTTTCACTGGGATCTTCTGCTGGGTCTTCTCCTGCTTTTCGATGTTGTGGGCACCCAGGGTGACTGTGATTGAGCTGCACAGAGAACAGAGTGGGTGAGTTTGGTGGAGAGGGAGAGAGATATATCCCAGGGATTATGAATGGCAGGTGATAGCTGGTGCAGGGCATAGGGGCCAGGGACTTGGTGGTTCTGCTTCTCAATGACACTGAGGTCAGGGAGCTGGGAGCTCTCTTTTGCTCTCAGGAAATGTCATAAAATTACTTGCATTTGCATTTTGACCCTAATGCATGTGTCCACCGCTGCTTTATTTGGCCAGTGTGGTTGTTCTCTTCTCAATTGTGTTCCTTGCTATCACCTCTGACCCTCTGAGCCCAAAGCTTACCTGTCCTATTTCTCAGGCTCTCATTGCCCAGTCATGTTCTCTGATAGCTCCTCTGATGAGATTTCATGGCTTGAGTTACCAGGAGTCTGGGGAGCTGCCCTGGGCTGCAGCTCCTGGGATGAAGGGCAGGGTCCCTCTAGGGGTCTCAGGAGGTTTTCCTTACCGTCCATTGCAGTGAGCAGCTGTCAGAACAAAGTTGTCTCCCACAAGGACACCGCCACACCTGGACTTTTCCTCCTGGACTTTTCCTCCTCATCTTGAATGCGAAGGAAGGCCATGTAGGGTCGGGAGTGGGGCTTGGCTTCATGTCCCCCGATGATCTCCCCTGAAGGAAAATTCTGTTGTACTTTTGTGGTGCCTCCCCCCCCGCCCCGAGTGCACCAGGCAGGCATTGGCTTGATGACTCATATGGCTGGCCACTTGGGAGCTTAGGGTAGCGTAGAGCTGGGAGTAGATAGTAAATAGGTAGTGAGGGGCCTCCACTTTCGCATCTGGAGAGGGAACAGCAACAGGCTGCGTCTGTGACTTTGCCTGCCACATAGTTGGTGAGAATACAGGTCTCAGGAACAGGGAAGGCCTGGAGGCTCCTGAAAATTCCTCTCCTGACTCCGCTTGGTGTTGGGTGAGCTTCTGAGGCCCCTGTGGTGCTGTGATGTCCAGGGCAGTGTGCTTTGCAGTGTCCAGGACTTAAGTTTAGGGATCTAGATGCTGATACATGAGGAGTTCCCGGTAAGTGTTTGTGGCTGCTTGGAGGGATGGGTCCCAATGGGCCTCTGGAGTTGGGTTGATAAGGCCAGTGCTGTGCGATTCTGGAAAGCAGAGAAGTTTGGGGCTGCCAACCTCACTGGCTCATCCTTTAAGGAGAGGACCTGCTAAAGGCCTGGGAAGAAAAGCAGAGCTGGAGAAAGGGACTGAGGGGCCTTGAGATGGAGCAGAGGAAACAGCAGTCTTCTGGGGACAGTGACACCACCAACTGTGGGGTCTGCTGAGCTCTGGGCTTCTCTCCTAAGCAGACCCTGAGGACAGCACCTGTCTCATCACAGACATGGAGGCCAGGACTGCTCTGCCCTCTGCAGTTTCCCAGCCTCTGCCATGCACTTCTAGGAAGTTCCACTCTCCACCTGGCACAGGTAGGGCCTGGGGAGGGCATTGTGCCCCCCGGCTTTTTTTGAGAATAGGCTTCTGTCCTGTCATTTCTGCATGTAGCTCATCCAGCATCATGTGTGTGGGTCTGAGATGGGATGGGAGCTGGGGTTCAGAGCATTCCTGGTGGAGAGCTGGATCAGGGATGTGCAGAAGGGCCAGGAGGTCTGTGCCCACTGTGGATGGGTTGGGCCTGTGAAGGTGGGGATGGTCACTCACCTGCCTCTGCCGAGGGGAGCAGGAAAAAGGCCAGCAGGAGCACGAGCAGGGGTGGCTGCATCTTCCCAGGAAGACTGCTCAGGTCAGAGCTGCTGGTGTTTCTCTGTGCTCTGTTTTTATGCCCAGAAGAGGAAGGAAGTGTGGGTGGTCTCTGAGACCTGAGTCCCACTCTGGTTTTATAGTGCTTCATCTGAGAAGGATTTCTATGAAGCATCCCCACCCCCACACCTCCTGCCTGATGATGGTATCTGGGTGGTTGTGTGAGAAGTATGCAGTGACCACATCAGTACCCACAGGTAATGATGCAGAGCAGCCACCTGAGCAGACTCCAGCCCCAAACAGGAACCCAAGTGTACAAGGTGGGGCCTGTGGCTTGCGGTATTGATCAGTGGAGGTACTGGAGCCCAGAAACCTGAGTCCCTAGTGATAGAATTCCCAGTGCCTCATCTCCATGCAACTAGGTTCATCAGGGTAATTTCTTTCCACATGTGTTTAGCCCTTTTCTGTCCAATGGCCAAACATAGTGGAGATGTGTCTCCTTTCTTTATAGCAGCAATTTTCAACTTTTTTCATCTCATGGCACATGAACTAATTACTAAAATCCTGTGACACACTAAATATATATTTTTTGCACAGCTCACAAAAAATAGTTATACTTTTGATTGATTTAAAAGAAGTAATTAAATATCCTTTTTGCTCCAACGTGACTTAAAAAAAATATCCCGTGCCTATCCTTGTATATAAGAATTTCTGGTACCAAAAATTAACTAATCACACACAACCATGTTAGCAATGTGACCAATAAAATGCAACTTTATTATATGGCCCATATGTTTATAGGGCAAGACAGGGCATTCACACCAGATAACTATTGTGTTGACTGTTGTCCTTTTTTAAAATATATATTTTTTATTGATTTCAGAGAGGAGGAAAAGGAAGAGAGAAATGAAACATTAATGATGAGAGAGAATCATTGATCAGCTGCCTCTTGCAGGCCCCACACTAGGGATTGAGCTTGCAACCTGCGCATGTTCCCTGACCAGGAATTGAGCCATGACCTCCTGGTTCATAGGTCAACACTCAACCGCTGAGCCACGCCATAGGCTGTTGGCATATTTTTATTTGATGATCTAAGGGAAAATAGGTTAGTGACCCTGACTAAATAGCCTGGTATTGCATGTTTTAAAAGTTCTTGTGGGACACTGGTTGAAAATCGCTGCTTTAGAAAGAGCTGAGCATCTGATGGGGGAGACAGAAACAACAGGGAGCAGAGTACTGAGTGGGAAGGGCCATGGTAGAGTGATGCAAGGGGAGGAATAGAATATCACCACCATCTACTACACTGACATAGCAACCCATTCATCATCACAGTTTCCTCCCGAGGGGTTTTATTTACAAATGCTCCATCTGTCTTGTCAACATTTTAAACAAAAGTACTGTCCTTGACATGTAGTGGACTAGAGTAAGGAATCATTGTTGCCCTTGTAGTTGAACCACTGATTGGCTTAGCCTATGTCAACCCTACTTTGAGTTGGCTGGGTTCAGTCCCACCCAAAGCACATGAACTAGGAGTGGAAAGGGCTGTTTCCCCGAAGGAAGTTCAGGTTATTAAATTGTCGATATCGAGTAACGTGAGAAAGCTTGCTTGTCAACCAAAGAGCAATAATTGTCCTTTCAGTATCCTCTGTGCTCTGTGCAGAGCCACACTTCTGCTAGAGCAGGCTTGGCACATAATAGGCTCACACTTGCTAAGCAAATTATGCTGATGAGCTCACTACACAGTGAAGGACCATTGCTTCTAAACAGCCGTGGCCCACTTCTGTTCAAAGGTCAACTAAGCTTCTCTGAGTGGTTAGAGTCTGATAATTTAAATGTCCACCTTTACGTTTTCTGTTTTTTACAATTTTTCTATGAGGAATATTATGTATCAAAATACATAATTTCAGTATAAACGTCTTCCTTGTCATACCACCTACACTCCAAACCTCTCCTTAAGTCAGCCTGCCTCATATAGACATTTACAAAATAAAGAACCTTTCTGATGACAGTGGTAAATATGCTCATTAAGAAAAGTTGGCCTTGCGTCCTGCAGAAAGCACAGTGTCTGTTAAGGCAGCTTAGGCAGCAGCCTCTGGTCATGTCCTTGTTTCTTCTTTTGTCCAGCTCCCGTTTTGGCATTTTTCTGCTGAGACTGAATCTTCTGCTTCTACTGTCTCAGACCTTAGTTGATACACCTGCAACTGCTTTTCTACAAAACTGTTAATCAGCAAAAATAAAAGGGCTACAGGATCCCTCATTTTGATGCTGTGACTTTTTTGACTTCATGCAAAGACAGTTTTATGTAGATGTACAGTTGACTCTAATTTGAAAATCTGAAAATCAGTTCATTCTTGTGATAAATTTTTTATAATCATAATTATATTTATGTTCATATTGTATAAAATGACTCATTTAATAAAGTGACACTTTAATTAAAAAAAGGAAAATTTGGAAAGTAGAAAAGAAAAATGTCACCAATTAGCCCAAACCCCAACACAATCCTACATAATAAAGAGCTAATATGCTAATGGTCGCGAGGCCCTCATGCCATAACAACTGATCAGCAGGAGGCTGCGTGCCTGTGGGCTGTGGGGCAGAGCCGCTGAGTTGCCTCGGGGACGGGGACACGGGGCGGAAGCAGGAAGGTTCCTGGAGGATGCAGGACCTTCCTGTGGCGGGGAGGGCGGGGTGAGAGCCCATAGTGCCCCACTCACCAGTCCTTCACCACCCACCACTTGCACTCAGCATGCCCGCCACCCACCTGCCAGGGGAAGGAGTGCAGTGCACACTGCCAGGAAGTGGCGCTTGAAACTCCACAGCAGTTGGGAGGCTTCCACGCTCTTCTCCAGCACCATGATGGGGTGGAGCTGCCACATTGCTCTGGAGATGGGGTGGAAATGTGGAGGCTCCCTGAGGAGGCGGGACCAGCTGGAAAACTCGTGGGACCAAGGGTGGGGCTTGAAGCAGCCAGAGAAGGTTGGAAGGGTCGGGGATGGGGCCAGGTGCACTCAAGCTCTGGGTGGAGAAATTAGGGTGTCAATGTGGGGCAGTGGGTAGCTGGGCGGGGCACGCAGATGTGCAGGCCATTGGATTTCGTGTGCTGGGTCACTAGTTTTACCATAAGAAGTGTATTTTAAGTACTTGGGATCATGCTATATATACAATGTTATATGTATTTTATATACAATATTACTTTTTTTTGTCTTCACTTAACACTATGATGTAAGAATTTTCCTGTGTCTTTAAAAATCTTAATTAACGAGACTGTAGTCTCTGTTCCTAGTTATTAAAACTTTTAACATGCAGTTAAGTTTTGAAATTAATGAAAAATTTTAAAAACAATTTAATCATAGAGAAAACGATTAAAATGATCTGATTTCAGATCATTGATAATCATCTTTACTGTATTGAGGTATGAACTAACATATTTTGCTCTCATGTATAGCGGCATTTTTTTAAAAAAAGGATTATATTAAATACAAGATTATGTTATAACATTTATTAAATATTGAGGTGAAATTCACATAACATAACATTAATTATTTTAAAGTGTACAATTCAGTGGCATTTAGTGTATTCAAAATGTTGTGCAATCACCTCCTCTCTTTAATTTCAAAGCTTTCTCATGATCCCAGAAGAACATTTCATCACACCCACAACTTAATTGGTACTTAATCACTTTCCATTCTCCCTCTCCCACCAATACCCAACCCTGGCTTTTGGCAACTACTAGTCTCATTCCTGTCTCTGATGGATTTGCATATCGATATATATAAAGAGCCAGGGGCCATTGAAACGGAATGGATGACCGAACAGGCTGAGTGGGGCAACCAGGCTGGCAGGGGTTAGTGAGGGACAACCAAACAATTGAGCAGCAGGCTGCATGGGGCGACCAGGCTAGCCGGGGAGGGGCAGTGAGGGGTGACCAAACGACTGACCAGCTGGCTGCGTGGGGTGACCAGGCTGGCGGGGGGACAGTGAGGGGCAACTAAATGACTGAACAGCAAGCGGTGTGGGGCAACCAGGCCGGCAGGGGTGCAGTTGGCAGCAACCAGGCTGCCGGGGGGAGGGGAGGCAGTGAGGGGCGACCAGGCCAGCAGAGGGGAGTAGTGAGGGGCAACCAGGCCAGCAGGGGCAGCATGAGGGGCAACCAGGCCAGCAGGGACGGCAGTGGGGGCAACCAGGCCCGCAGTGGGGGCAGTAGGGGGAGACCAGGCCAGTAGAGGGGGGCAGTGAGGGGTGACCAAGCTGGTGGGGCAGTTGGAGACGACCAGGTCGGCAGGGGGGTGCAGTTAGGGGTGACCAGGCCAGCAGAGGGGAGCTGTTTGGGGCAACCAGGCCAGCAGAGGTGGGCAGTTGGGGGTGACCAGGTTGGCAGGAGGGCAGTTGGGGGCAACCAGGCTGGCAGGCAGAGATGGTTAGGGGTGATCAGGCTGGCAGGGGGGCCAGTAGAGGCAATCAGGCAGGCAGGCAGGTGAGCAGTTGGGAGCCAGTGGTCCCGGATTGTGAGAGGGATGTCCAACTGCCGGTTTAGGCCCAATCGGACATCCCCCTAGTGGTCCCAGATTGGAGAGGGTGCAGGCTGGACTGAGGGCCTCCACCCCTGTGCATGAATTTTGTGCACCGGACCTCTAGTTCTGTATATTTCATATGAAAGAAATCATGGAATATGTGAGCTGTTGTGTTTGGCTTCTTTTGCTCAGCATAATGATTTTGAAGTTCATCCAAATTGTAGCACATATCAATATTTTATGCAGCAAAATACTATTGTGTGTGTGTCTCTGTGTGTGTGTGGTGCCTGTCTTAATTTATCTCTTTATCTTAAATAGACATTTGGGTTGTTTCCACCTTTGGGCTATAGTGACTAATGCTGTTATAAATATTTGTGTAAAAACTTCATTGTTGAGGATATGTTTTCATTAGTCTTGGCTATATACCTAGAGATGGAATTATTGGGTCTTATGGTAATTCTAAGTTTCAGTTTTTGAGGAATCACTAGACTGTTTGTTGTACCATATTACATTCCCACCAGCAACGTACAAATACTTCCATTTCTTTACATCTCGCCAATATAGCTATTATTGTTGTTATTATTATTAT